TCACACTCTCTGCAGCATTTCTGTGTGGCTGTGTCTGACCAGCTCCAGGAGTCCCTGCCTTAGTGCTTTTGGTTCACGGATGACAACTCTTCATCCCCATGACAGTGAGGAGGTGAAGGCAAAGCCTTGAGTTCAGTGGTTGATACAGGAGCCAAGTTACTGTGATGAAAAGACCAGGATCTTCATGAGTCAGATGAAGATTTTCCAATAAATCTGAAAAAGTGCAACAATACTACAGCCAAACCACGGAGCGTGGTCTGAACAAACATCACCTGCTGCAGAAAGCAGGTGGGGGCCTGGGAGAACAGGGGAAGCAGTGCTCATCACCTCACCCCAGGTTTCAGGTGCAGGATGTCCTTTAGACAAGTGTTCCAATAGGGACAGGGGTGGCAGGTGTATGTGCACAAGTCGTCACTTGAGACTGAAGGTGGGGTTCTGTGAGCCATTAATTAATTAATTATTAACCCAGCAATTTCATTAGATCACGAGATCTAGATCTAGATATCTAGATATATCTAGATCTAGATACATGCCTAGCATATAATTAGGGAGATCTGGACGTGGGAAAACAGACCGTGTAACCTAGTGCTTGTCCTGAAAGAGCTTGCAATTAATATGGGGCGGCACCACCCATACTTTTTGGGACGCCTCATTGACACTTTGATGCACATGCAGTGATGTCATAGATCAGAACTATCTTTAGGCGGAGAAGTAGAGGAATCATTTACTGAAGTTCACAGGCGTGACACCGCGGTGGTTAGGGAGAGTTTAGTGAATGAGGTGGATTTTGAATGATTTGTGTATGACTGTGTGATTAATGTGTAAGATTCATGCCGATGAAGGACAAAGAGGAAAAAAAATGTTTCAAGGAGTCAGGAGTTAGTGTGTGCCAGGGTAGGGTAAATTTGACACAGTGAGTTTAGAAGATATGTTGTCATTTAATAATTTCTAGTTAATGTCTCTTGAGTGTTTAGCATTATTGAAACAGTTTGTGAAGGGTTTGAGTGTTCAATCAAGGCATCAACCAGTGAGAAGTATAACTCAGGGTGAATAATGAGACTGTTCAGATTTTACCAGTTGAACATTTTAGGAGCATGAATTCAACAAAGGTTTACCAGATGGTCACATTCCAGGCACCCACGTAGTCCTGCCTTCTAAGGGCTCACAGTGTAAGAGGAGGGAGTGACACACAGTGATGTTGGTAAAGTGTGTAAGGGTTGGACTAAGAGCTTGAGTGGGGGGCTGTGGGCGCCCCCTGGCGGGTGTGGTGAACCAGGCTGGGGCAGTCCCGGAATTATTTGTATTTGATTCTGAAATTCACTCAGCAGCTTTGTCAGCAGAAGTTTGGTGCCTGTTAGTGTTGAGTTGTTTGCATCTCCAGCACCTCAAGGACTGAGCATGGTGCCCACTCTTATGTTCATAGTGTGCCCTGTGACTCTGTTCTCAGGAACTTGTACTCAGAATCTGAGACATTGGCAGAGAGGAGACCTGTGGGGTCATCATC